GCTGTTTCAGCAGGCAGGACTGGCCTAGGGGGTATTTTAATTGGTTTTAACAAAATTTTAATAGAGCGGCCAATTCAAATATTTATTTTTAATTATTTTAGATTTGTATTTGGTATTTATGTGGGATTGTTTTAAACTGGCTGTAAGCCGCCCTGAGTCCTCCGGGAGAAGGGCGGGGTATAAATGAAATAAATGAAATAAATAAATAAATGGAAATAAATAAATATAGCAGGGGTCTTCAAACTTGGCCCTTTTATGACTTGTGGACTTCAACTCCCAGAATTCTGGCTGAGGAATTCTGGGAGTTGAAATCCACAAGTCATAAAAGGGCCAAGTTTGAAGACCTCTGCTCTATAGAGATTCCCATTTCCTATATACCATAGATAGTGTGTGCTTATACCTGCTGCCTGTATCTGGAAATACAAGCTAAAACTGAAGCCTCATAGGGAAAAGTTTCAGCATTAAAAAGCTGGGAAGATAAAGTGTGGTATCTTACAAATCCACAAATCCCATGTCCCATTTTTTCCCCACTACTGTTAGACGCTTCAGAACTGGTTTCACTGGTTTAATTAATAAGTAATTCACTGGTTTAATAAGTAATTCAATAAGTAACAAAACTCATCTGAATTCATCTATTACCAACAAGATCTGACTTGGTGTAAATTGCTATTTCCAAACCTAAGTAGCTGTTCCTGTGCCTGGTGGAAGAAACTGAGTTCTTGGATAGAGACCTCTCACATTGAAAATGACGGGCATGTGGATGTCCACAGGATGTGTGTGTCTGTGAAGAAGATGGTAGCAATGTGCAATCAAGCCTTGCCATGTTTTTCTTACGCCACAAGGCTTGTAAAAAAAAAAAAGGCAAGGCTCCAGTTGTGTGGCTCCTGCCACCATCTTGACTTTTTTGACCTTTTAGATACCCATGGATTGTACATCATTTTCACAATAGTATCACAATGCCCTATGACACTATTTGCCTCATTGCTTATTGAATGGAGATTCATGGGTGAGTGCTTCCCCTCTTCAGCCATAAAGTACACAGCCTTGTATACTTCTGTCCCGATTCACAAATTATGCTACCCTTAACATATTATTCTTTTGCTTTTAGCTTAGCAAATCGTAAAATTGAGACCATGGTGGTTTATAAACCATTATATATAATTGCCAGATAATTATTTAACACTAAACAAGTCATGGCTTAGTTAGTACAAGCCAATATAAGAAATATAAGAAAAAAAGAACACAAGGTCCATATTTTAAATATACAAGAAATTAAATACCAGCTGTCCATCCTTTTTGTTAACTCAGAAATTGGTCCTGTGAATGTCACTGTTATATATATTTTTGGAGTCTGGGGATCAGGCCAAATGATTGTCAGTAGATTTACTTGTAACTAAGGGAAACATACTTAGAAATTAGTTAAATAGGCTAAAAGAAAGGGAGAGTGAGTGAAGTGTGTGAGAAGTCACAGGGTCTAAAACTAAAGCCGTTTACTAAGATCTAGGAATGTTTTCATCATTAAAAGCAGAGTGTTGTGTTACCTTACTATAGTACAAATAAATCATTTACTGAAAATATCAGTAAGAAAGCATGGATAGCCAGGAAAATAAAAATAAGGATCAGTTTCACTTGAGGCACAAATGACTAGGCTCAAATGATCATGTTCTGGATACATTATTCAAAGACCTAACTCCCTGGAAGAGTCCATAAGGCTGGGAAAAGTGGAAGGAAAGAGAAGAAAAGGACGATCTCCCACAGGTGCTTTTTCAGGAGGCAA